GGCCTAATAATATATTGACTATATTTTTGATTTATTTTCTTTGGTATAGGCCTAAGAATGAGATAAAATCAGCTGACCTTTTTTAAGAGGGGTAAAACCTTGAATTTTGAAGAAATTAAAGGTCATTAAAAGACACCTCAGAAGTCGGAAAGCTCATATTTCCGGCCAACTGGGAATCAAAATTTTCCCGGGGGAGGACCCCGGACCCCCTTTGGGTTTATGGGAAAATGAACCCCCCTATTTCAAATCCTGGATCCGCCCCTTGAAAAGGAATTATACACTGATGCACGTGCATTTTCTTAGCTTTGCCAATATAAATAAGTATTATCAAACAATCATTCAATCAATCGTTTCAGGGTGGGTCCAGGAGACACGGGTCTATCCCAACCCCCAAAATATAAAGAAGAAAGGGAGAAGAAAGACCAGAAAGAAGGGAGCATGACGTCACTGTAGGCTTACTCCAAAACAACCTATTTTTTTTAATGTCTGTTGTCTCCACCATTTCTAAACAAGATTCTTTCTCTATATCTGTCCCTTATGGGTGGATGGATATATTCGGTGTAAACACCAAGGATAACCCACAAAAGTCGGAAGAATACTTGTTTCCAGTGAGGTCCTTCTGGTGGTGATTGGGCACTTCACCGGCAGTGGCCTAACGATGGGCCCGGGGCCCTGTGGTTTTCTGAGAATGGGGTCCCCTTTTTGATCCGGTCAACACTTTGATTGTGTGAATTTAAATTTGCTCGTTTTTCTAATATTTGGCATTGTATTCTAGATTGCTTTTAACAACGAAAAAATTATATATCAGTTGCAGATTTAGGTATTCAAAATAGAGAGAATGTGGGTAGGGAGTGACTTTCACACACCTATTCCACCTCAGTCCCTGCATGGTTGGGGCTAAGGTAAGATAATTTATGAATACGGCACCTCAAAGTGGCCGGAATTGGCACTCATATATTTAAAATGCGAGTATAATTTCCATTTTTAAAACAATTGGAAAATTATAGGTGGCCCAAGGCCGACAGGTGCCCCCATTAAACCTTACGGATATACTATGATATATGTCTTACAGTCGATCTCAGAGACACATTATATATCAACAAAGCCCTTTTGGGTAAGGGTGCCTGAGCAAGGACCCTATGGGTTGGGGCACCTTCGGGGCCCTAGGTGCGCATAGTCGTTACACCACTGTACATCGGGAAACAATTTCCTACTCATTTCCAATTAGTATACTGCGTTCTTTAACGTGCACACAG